GGGGGGGGGGGGGGGAAATAGCCTTTTCAAGGGTGTGGTGCTCCATTCCTGACTGTTTTCCAGTTCCCAAATCAACTTTATTCTTTTTGCGTTTAATTCTGATTAATTTGACCCGACTTTGACAATGCTGGGCAAAATCATTATTTCGTAACGGTCAGCGCACCAGGGCTGTGACAATAATCTCACACGGAGCTAATTTAGAATATTCTGGGTAGGAAAAGATTTGGGGTGGCCCTTAGCCGCAGCATACAGGATGCATCCGAAGGAAGCTCTCCGTACGCAGGTGACGATCACTAACTCTGCTTCGGTGTCCCTCTCCCCACGCATGGCGCACCTCCATTAGTGGAAATGCCGGGGTGGCTTAGCCTGTCCCTGCAGTGGAATGTCCACCGCTATTCCTGGGTGGAAACGAGCGTGCGGGAGTTTGGAGGCTTCGCTCTGGCGATGGGTAACTCCTCGAGACTTGGGCCACACCCTTTGGCCAATAAGGCCACCCAAGATCGCCTTAACGTCGTCTACCTCTACTCTCCACCAGCTCAAAGCGGCATCCCAAGTCAGCATCTGTCAAAATTCCCAAAGAGGGAATTTAAGTTGCTGCTTTAGAATTAGCGTGAATGAGATTCACAGTAATACAACTAACTCTAATTTATGATCTCTACTGATACACTGAAACAGTATTTTTACAGGTCTATCCATTGATTATTCACCTTAGCACTGGCAAGGCGAGGGTCAGAATTGAATTCCACATCTATTCGGTATAGAATCATAGGCGTCATAGAAAAAAACATTATCCACAAGTGTTTTCCTGTCCCTCCTAAGCTCAGTCTTGGTCCCTTCCTACTGGAAACCAGGAAGACAATGGTAATGAGATGTCTGGTCATCAAGAGCGGTTGTCCCTCATGTACGTAACAAGAATCTGATCCCAGGGGGGTCGTAAAGCACGTACTCTAAGTACTGTTTTTGTGCTGATTAATACAACTAATGACATTTATTTTCCTTCATATCTGAACTGATACTGTTCAGTGATATGTCCAGTAATATCAGGGATATTTTTCTGACCAAGTTAAGTATGATGTATACTTGGAGTTGCTTTATTATCGTGTGGATGCCTCTGTGCTCAGTCATCATCCTGAGTCTCTGTGCTTGGTGACTTGGTGGCTGATGGCACTCCTATTTGCGATGGCTATGAGTACATGGTAGTTCAGGCTGGGGACAGGATTTGGGGCTATGTAAAACGAATTTGCCTATCGGGGGCAAGAACTCACATTTCATTTATATGGACCTGAAGAAACCAGATCATGGTGTAAGTACAGGAGGACTGGTAAATTCTCATTCTTCTCTGGGTTTTTAAAAAGAACAATGCAACGTTTTGTTGTTGTTGTTATTTTTAATCTACAAGTGTGAAAGTAAAGAGTCTAGCAATACCAGAGTAAGGCATTTGCCTATGTAGTTCAACCTGGAAAAGTGAAGGAAATTTTGAAAAAATCTTTTTTAGTTCTGCCAAAGTATAAAGGGAACAAATCAGTCTAACTTTTCTAACGCTGAGGTTTGAAATTCACATTGACTGCAAAAAGATATTTTCTGAGCACACAACCCATTTACTGTTCTTGGTCTTTTTTTTTTCCCTTCTAAGTGGGCAAGAGGTTTCATTTGTTTGTGAACAAATAAGTTTTCTCTTTCCTACAATAGAGATGAATCCTAATACTCATAAAAGCAGTAACATATTAAATATATATATATATATGTGTATATATATGTGTGTATATATATATGTGTGTATATATATGTGTATATATATATATATATATATATATATATTATATATATATCATCTTGAGTACATTGATAGAACTGTGTATCCTTTGCCCTAAAATGAATGCTAGAGATATATTTAATAGGGTGGTGACAATATGGGTACGGTCCCTCTGCTTTTATGTAACTGCTAGCCTATATAGAACTTAAAATATATAATATTAGTATGTGATGAACACATATATACCAGTCCCCTTATCTCACACAGACCTTGATTTAAGTAACTCATTCTAATTGGAAGCAATCCTGTGCCTTCCTGTGCTGGAAAAAAGTTATCGTTAGAAATATTTATGACTATAAAAAATTCCGCTACTCAAATGGAGTTATCATTGGTTTGTTTTCCCATATCAGGTACGTATAGATCATTGCAAGCTATCGGAGAAATTTTAACTTGGTGTAATTCACCACAGTTGACTCGGGAATGTTAAATCAGTGTGCTGCCAGAGTGAACTCTTGAGGGGGAAAAAGGAAAACAAACAAACAAAAAAACTTCCACCAAAAACAGCAAATCAGAAGGAGAACCCTAAAGGATTATATACAAAGCAATATTTTCCTGGTCCCATATCCCACATTATCGAATACGGCTTCAGCACTAGCTTTGTAACAAGCTTTTACAAAGATATAACCGAACATGTTTATTTCATGAACAGATATTTTACACTAATACATTTATATTTAACATTGATTCTGCCACAGAAGCTGAAAACACAGTTTAAAAAAAGTAAACCATACCAACCGAAAGAGCTGTCTTTTCTTATAGGTCTCATTGCATATGTTACTGTCTTCCAAGAGCCTACTGGAAATGAAAAACATGGTTTTTATGATATAAAACCTACTGACACTAAATTTCCTATGCTAAATGGGTGTGTCCTGCATTGTAACATACCTGCTTTCAGATCAACCCCATAGACTATGCTTTATGTGCATGTTGTTGAATTTTTGCAATAATAAATTAATGACTGCATGATGTTTCCCTATCCTGGGATTAAGGCGCTGATACCAGATAAGAAGGAAAGGAAGAAGAAAGAGAAGGAATGGAAGAGGCGAGGAAGATAATAGAAATCGGTAGGGATGAATCAGACATGTAATTAAACACATTAAAAGTTGTGATTTTTTTTTCCCTTGGGTGATATTAAAGTTATCTTTTTTTCTTGGGCATAGTGAAATACTGACATTCCAAAGACAGGTATCCAAGAAATGTATTTACTTTTGTAGGGAATCCACTCAATTAGATTTTTGCTTTTTGGAAATATCAAGAATTGTTCATATGTAATGCATGTATGGGACCGATTACTATACTGACTAATATGATTCAATTTGAATTTAAGGGACACGGGAGTGCATTAGCACTCTTTTTATACAAAATCCAAGGAGATATAAAATTAGGGCATAAGGCATGGAGAATGATTGGCTGGATGATTGGGGAATAAGGTTTCCCATTAAACTGAATTATAAACACTCCATCCTTTGGGTTAGAATATAGAATTGTAGAATGCTTCAGAATCATCCCTAAGATGTTAGCACCCATAGTTTCTTAATTTAACTATAAATAGAGAATATTTACTTAAATATGTATGAATCTTCATGTTGTTTTTGAATGCCTTCTATCGACGTGTTTTCTACTTTCATCCATTCTTCTAGAAGAGGCTGTTCAATTGAGGGGGTTAGTTACTTGAAGCTTTCTAACTGCTAATATTAAAGATAGCTTTTTTCCCCCAATCATCGCTAATGCCCGGTTTAAATTTTCTCTAAGTACTAGACTTTAATCAAACAGCCTCTATTTTAATCAGTTTTACGGGGGCGCCCATTAAGCCGACACCTGAAATAAAATTAAGCACCACTCTTTGAAGGGATACCATATTTCCATTCCAACTTGCCCATTCTGATGTCCCTCAAACGTGATTAATACAGCTAAGGTGGAATTCTTTAATTCCCCTTGAAAAGCTGCAGTGGAATGAATGGAGCATTTAAATATCTATGCCAGTTGAGAACAATTTCTTAAAAAGTGTATGTGAAATATGCAAAACTTCAACTCATCCTCTCAAGACCTTGGAGAAGTTGTATAACCCACCCATGTCACAACAACTAGCCCCGTCCTGACTCCCAAGTTAGCAACTCTAGATCGGGTTAGCTAGATTTCCAAGTTAGAGTGAGACACTTAAAACAATATATTATCCCAATTATTGTCTGCATAGCTATATAGAATTACGGGGTGCAGGAAGTGGCTAATAATACCCAACATACAAATACTGTTAACAGCCTAGTGCATAAGCCAATGAAACTGCAAGTTCATTCATGCTTTGTAATGCCTGGTGAAGGTAGCAGGATTCCACCTCGGGAAGAACCAGAAGTTGAGGCTTTAAATAAAGAAAATGTGCAAACTTACGTTTGGAAAGAACAGAGAAGTAGTTCCCCAAAGTAAATGGTTTTTAGGCATGCTAAATAACACATATGCGTGTGCATATAAGTGCGTACACAGAGATATATGCATTTACTTATACATATATTCAAGCTCACACTTATATATGGGATATATACCTATGAATACACAGGACACACACGACAGACTTTTTTTCCTCTAATGACACGAAAAAGCAAATTTCAATTTCATTTACCTGGTTTCCACAAAAAGGCTTTCCTGGGAGCAAACTGACTGAAAAGAAAAAAAAAGAAAAGAAAAGAAGGCATTGTATCAGACGTTCTGGATGTGCCGAAGGATCCCAATTCCTTGCCTGATTTTAAAGCTACTTTTCCCCTCCAAGAGGAAAAGAAAGAAGAAACATAGGTACTATGTTTTGAAAAAGTGGAGGCAGAAAAGGGAAAAATTGGTTAGAGTTAGAAGCGTAAACCATTCTCATTCAGCACACAAGTACTTTCCCATCGGGGCGTCTCCAGGTTACAAATACATTTAGCCCGCTGGACATCAAGGTCAGAAGTAGAGGGATGTGAATGAGCTACTGGTTTATTCCGGGGCTGCGGAGATGCGGCCCCCGACCAGAGCCAAAAGACTGGTTCAAATCAAGGCAGAAAGCGTGCGCTGAGCACGATCAACCTGAGATCGGACAGTCAGAGAACCACAAACCTGCAATTGTTACCTGGGAATGACAGACTCTGGTGAAATAAACAGATTGGCTGCAAGACACTGAAGATTGAAGACATGCCCTCAATCCATTTTAGGAGGGGGGGGGGAGGGGACGCAGAGACAATTGAGAACAAAATGAAGTTAATTCGGAAAAACGATGCCAAGCTCCGTCTAATGTTCTGTTTTGTTTTTCACCCAGAACAAAAAAAAACCAACAACGTGACTTTCTTCTTAGCTTCTGTCCCCCTAGCTATCGCTGCTCTTCTCTCTCGTGTTTAATACACTCGCAGGGAAGAGAAAATTCTATTATCATTATGTGCTGGGGAAAGACAGATCTGATTCAATTTGAACAAGCAGAAAAAGAGAAGTCGAAGCAATATAGTGCAATGGTCCTCTAACATAGTGACTGTGTTCAGGAATTCACCTAAAACCGTTTTCAAAGTACTGAGTTGCTAAACATAAATGTACACCCCGCATTCTATGTGCAGATTTTCTAAATGATGAATAAATGGCCTGCTCAAGGGATCACTCGAGACCTAACAGGTCCGATTCAAGAGAAAATGAAACTAAAGTAAATACGGACCTCTCAATATTGAATTCTTAAATTCAATGATCAGCTAATGTAGCCACTACTCAGAGAGGCAAGCAGGATATTGGTTTCTCTGTACATTTTGGTGGAGAAGTCATTTCCTTCCACTAAATCAAAGGGCTAGCTTTGGACCTAATGTGCTTTCCTCAGTGGTCTGAGTGTCTCAGCGAGGGCATCTCTAGAACCACTTCTCTTTTAACCTTTGTGCGTTTAACAGACATCCTGAAAATGAAGCGCAAAGCATCTTATTTAACAAAAAGAAAAAAAAATCTGATTAAAAAAAAAAAGCTTTACAGAAAATCTTTCTTTTTAATTCGATGTTTATGTGCATAAACAAAAACGAGGACAATCTCTGTACCACTGGCATCATTCCTGCCAAGATCTCTTTATAGTAAGCAAAATATTCCATTGTCTTTGCCTCCTTTAGTTTGGTTTTACTCCTGGTTTGAGTCAAGTCATGGAACTAATTGTCTCGGGTACACATTCCGAGCTCCATAGTCTCCGACTACTCAACTCACGTGGTTGGAAAGAGGTCAATTATGTTTATGCGGTTCATGCCGGGTATTGGCAGGACACTCTCCTTCTTTGAAGGAGCTGATCAAAGACATACTGACCTCTTCAGACTCATTAATCTAGTCGTATTCGGGGGAAAGTTAAGCTGCCCTAACTCTTTGAATTAAAAAAAATAATAATAACAATAAGGCACCTGCAAGTCAAAGATAACTTTCCCAAAAACGTATCTCAAGAGTATTTTCCAATGTTTGTGCAAAGGTCCTAAAAATCTACCACATGATCCTTCTGCCACATTTGCAGAAATAGGACAGATATGGTTACGGGCCGTGATTCAGTAGCTGATGAAAATAAACTTTTTGAAAAAGTTATGCGAATAACTTGCAAATTTAAACAGCAGAGAAAGACAAAATTGTCATAGTAATTAAGTGCAGCTTTTAAAGCTGTCACTTATATGCATTCTCAGATATAAAGGGCTCTTTTTTAATTTTTAAGGAGAAAACGATTTTGCCTAATGGGTTACAGGATTCTCTCCCACACCCCACCCCAATCTGGGTGCACCACACGCCTTCTCGTCGGTTGTCACAGAAGAGGGATCCCAGTACGTGCTAGGAAGACCGTGGATGAGCTCCTCCAAGAATCTCTACTTATATATAAATATCCTTCAGAAAGCATCCTCCAGGCAAAACACGTCTTTCCCAAATACATTGCTTTATCAGCATAACCTTGCCAAAGCCAGCAACATTGCATTGAAGTGATCATAAAATAAGCTGAAATTCTTGCCAAAGGAAACAACAGTTATATTTCAAATATCTCTGACTACAAAAACTCACTTATTTTTTATTTGAGAACTAAATTGCAGTGTGCCCTGACTTACAACAACTTCATTGTCAAATAACAAATGTGTCCTGTCTCAAGCCACCCGAATTCTCAAACTATATTTGAAATTAGTTTTCTAGAAAATCCCCAAATAATCTGTATATTTTGATTGTGGACCTACATAAAAAAAGCGCACGCTCACGCACGCACACACACGCGCACACACACACACACACACACACCCCTTAGACACCAAGATACACCTGTAAACTATTCAAGAACACTACTTGTTTTCCCAAATAAATTTTAATTTTGCTGAAGTGTAAGTACCGGGGAGTATTTCTCTGTAACTCTATTATAACTTCCAGCAGGAAAAAAATACCTCTACATAAATATGTCCATATTTGAACCTGTTTGAATAACTCCACCGCTTAAACAATAATAGGTTGGCAAGGGGAGTTGCTTTCATGACCTCAGTTCTTAAACTACGAAGACACTAAATTAAAGGCCAGCTAAGAAAAAGACTGTATGTTTGTAACTTAGATTCCTTATGCTGGATTCTTTGCATTGGTTTTACAACTGACTTACTATATTTGATTTATTACCTTGTGTACCTCAACAATCAGAGAGCAGAAACGGTCACTTGGGAATCCGGAGTTACATAAATTAAGTCTCTCTAAAATGTTTTTATGTACGTGGTAAGGAAGATTTACTACCGCGTGTATTCAAGAAAGTTCGTATCGCTGGTTACGTCTTTGCGTTTGCGTTAATAAAAGATACAGTGACATCTTGTTAACTCAGGGTGGCCCCCGATGATCCCTGCCTCTGGGCATTCACGTTTTGTAGTACCTCCCACACGGCACCGCGTTTGGTCTGTGTGTCCAACCGAACACAGCAGAAGGCAAGGTGTCAGTTCCAAGATTAGGTTATAAGAGACTCTCGCTGCCACCTTGGGCTCTTTTTCTCTTGGATCACTGGCTCTGGGGAAGTTAGTTACCATGTCTTCAAGACGCTCCGTAGCCTATGGAGAAGCCCACATGGTGGGAACTGAGATCTCGGTACATCCAGCCAGGAACTGAGGCCTGCCAATAACCACGGGGGTCCGTCAGAAGACCACAGCCCCAGCTGACAGCTTGACTGTAACCTCACAAAAGACCGTGAGCCAGAACTGGCCGGCCAAGCTACTCTGTTTCCTGACCCACAGAACTTGTGAGGCAAAAAGCGTTTTGTTTGTTCTAAGCTGTCAAATTTGGGGATAGTTTGCTGAGTAGCGATTAAGAGCGAAAACACAGGGAACACCAGCCTTCGGCATCAGGCATCGTTTCTCCCTCTAGGAGAGCGGCTTTGAGCCTTTTAAGGGTCATGAAAACTTATAAACAATCCAGATCTTTTGCTTACAAAAATGTACCCGCATTCACAGACATAATGTTTTGCAGATGATGTCAGGAACCGTCTTTAATCTCTGAAGCCTGCCTGTGAGTATCCTCCGGGTACAGGATACCAATGAAAAATAAACCCACCCCAGAGATCAGGTGGAAAAGTAGTCCCAGAACCGGGCAGGGGCCCCACCTGAATTAGGAAAGCCGGAGTGCTGGTCACCGGAGAGCCTATCAGAGGAGCTCACACCTCTACTCCTGCAGAGGGAAGGAGCCACCGCCGCATTTCAAAGGCGGCTGCCAAATGGCTGGCGTCATGAATTGGAAAGGCTATGGCAATAGCTTGGCATTTAGGCCTTCCCACACTTCAATCTGCTTTTGCTTTTAAAAAAATATGCTAATTCGGCAGTTAGTCATAGAGGCTCGGAACAGCAGCTTTGCCTCCAGTCTGTAACCCGAGACCCGGGTTCCTTGCTGGGGCTGTAGGGAAATGCAATGTGTACGAGGAGTTTCGGCCCCCCCCCCGCGTGTGATGACCTCTCTGGGGACGTGGCCACGTGCACACGAAAGGGCAGCAGCCCGAGAATCACCCTCCTCACAGGCAGGCATCAGGGCTGGTTCTCTGGCCACCCAGCCCCAGAGTGTTTGGCAACGTGGCATGGCAGTACTTTGAAAGAATACCACGGTGTTTGTAGATTATCTGGGTGATTAGGATTTGCTTTGCAACACAACTCATTCATAAATTTTATGACTTGCTATAGAATGAGAGTCAGAGGGAAGTGTGCATGTGTGTGCGTGTCTGCACGTGGCAGGCAGGGGGAGAGAAGGACGGGCAGAGAGGAAGAAAGAAAGAGAAGGAAGGACAAACTAGCCTTCAGACAGCTCTCTCTCTGTGAAGCTCATCGGCCAGGCACAGGCTCGCTGCCTTCCAGTCCACCGGGGGCACCCCCCCCCCCAGCTAGCCTGGCTACACCACCTCCAAGCCCCTCATTACTCTATCCCTGGATCCAGGAAACACGATGAAAAGCCTACCATGGGTCGGGCTGCGCTTCGCGCCATCAATAACTCTGACTGTCCGAAAAGCCCAAGGAGCCCACACATACGCAGAATATTCTAGACTTGCACGTGGACAACGTCCTTCTACAGCCACCTCCACCCGCCTCTCTCCCACTCTGCCAACTCCAGAGCTCTGAGCCAAATCATCCGATCACTAAAATTCTATTTCCCTGCACCCGTGACAGGCAGCGGGGATCTAGAAGAGAGGCAGCCCGTGTAGACAGGGAAGAAAGGCACCGTCGGTGGGGTCGGAATTGCCTCTGCGGTTTTCTGTTGAAGGCGCCAGCGTGCTCTGGAGGACCAGGGAAACTGGCTGGGGCCCGAAAACTCCAAGGTCAGAAGGCCTCTCCATGCTACGCAGTGGAGCCTAGGTCTCCATGCTGGCTTGGCAATGGCCTCCAGAGCAAAGCCCGACGGGAGACGGAGGCCCAGCTAAGGCAGCAGGAGCCACGAGGAACTACACAAAGCAGCTCACACCTTTACTTCTGCTGAGGGAAGAGCCGCGACATCTCCGGAGGCCGCCAAGTGACAGCATCGAACGCAAAGGCTAATGGCACCTGCTTGCCCTTTTCGCCTTCTTGCATTTAAATCCGGCTTTGTAAAAATCACTTTTTCACTTTCATTTAATTTCACTGCATTTTATTTTGGCCACGGCAGGGGGGGGGCGGGGGTCAAAGGAAGATAAATCCCCACCACATTTCCTTTGCTGGGATTTGAACAGAGGAAATCACTCTGGTTATTCCCTTGACGAACCGCTCACAGACCTGATTTGATCTGAAACTGAGGGGGAAGTGGAGTATTCTCATTTAACTCGGATACAAGACAATGCCTGTACCTGCGAAGAAGGCAGAAAATTCTGTGTTTACGTATGCGATTCACAGAATCTTCTTTCTTTTTTAGGTATGTCTTCCCTCTGCACGACATTTGTGTTAAAAAAGACAACACTGGGCCGTCTGCGGGCTAACACAGATGTGAAGGCATTTCTTCAAATCTGGCAACTTCCGGGGGGGCCTGGGTGGCTTTGTCAGTTGAGCATCCGACTTCAGCTCAGGTCATGATCTCACACTTCGTGGGTTCCAGCCCTCCAGGGCTGGAGCCTGCCTCAGATTCTGTGTCTCCCTCTCTGTCTGCCCCTGCCCTGCTCATGCTTTGTCTTGTCTGTCTCTCTCTCTCTCAAAAAGAAAAAACTGAACATTTAAAAACATTAACAAGGGGCGCCTGGGTGGCGCAGTCGGTTAAGCGTCCGACTTCAGCCAGGTCACGATCTCGCGGTCCGTGAGTTCGAGCCCCGCGTCGGGCTCTGGGCTGACAGCTCAGAGCCTGGAGCCTGTTTCAGATTCTGTGTCTCCCTCTCTCTCTGCCCCTCCCCCGTTCATGCTCTGTCTCTCTCTGTCCCAAAAATAAATAAATGTCGAAAAAAAAAATTAAAAAAAAAAACAAAACATTAACAAGAAAACAATCTGGCAACTTTGCTCTGTACTCAGGATCTATGCTACCGACCCGAATCACATCGGTGCCCCCCCTTCCGTCATAGCCTTCCGGAACACAGGCAACCCTGGGCCACTGTTCCATCACTTCCCTGCACTAAGGTCTTCCTCCAGAAACACCTCTGATTTGCTGCAGCTCGATCTGTCCCTGGCTCCAGCTTCCTGAGTCCTGCCAGCTCGCTGTCCCCAGACACTAAAGAGGCAATTAAAACAGCTACTCACATCGTGTGCAAATATTCTCTCCCTCACTCTCTGATACTCCTCTTCTCTCTCTTCAATTGATTTACTTCGTCTGTCATCTCTAAATGGATGCACTCTGTTTTGCTGAACGGAAAGAAAGAAATCAGTACGGTTATCCAAGTTGAGCCGGTGCAAATCTGCAGTTAAGCAACCGTCAGCTGAGAATAAGAAATGTTCGCTTAAACAAATGGAGCATGAAGAATGTCCTTCCCTCGGGGCCCGGAGGAGGCTGGGCCGGTGTGCGGGGTGCGTGCCTAACACGTGGAGGCAGTTGTCTGCAGCTCCGGCTTGCCTCCCCGCCTGACGCACGGAGGCCGGCGGTTTCCAGCATGAAAGCACCTGGACGTGTGTCCGGTGTGCAGCCAGTTCAGCTGGGACGCGGGCCACAGGGGTGGACTCCGTCTCCTCTGCTAACTAACCTGCGCGTTTGGGACTCTTCAGGCGAAAGCGGGATGTTGAGCACGCGGCTAGTTCAAGGCGGCTAAGGGAAGACGTGGCTGCGAACAGTTGGGTACCGGGAACAGTACCGGGAACAGTTGGGAACGGAACAAGGGAAGAAAGAAGGTAACGGGCAGAAAGGAAACTGTGGGCATAGTGTCTCCGTGTTCTAACCGGTGTTTTTCCTTCCCTCGGTGACTGATCCTGCACCCTGCGTTTGGCACAGGAAGTAGACCCTGAATTTGAAGGGTCTGGATTTGTTGAGGAGGGTCAACACCAAGGAATCTAAAGGCACCATCCAAAGAACCCAGCATGAGGACTGTTCTTTTTCAGCCCTGGACCTGTGTCCCTGCCTGCGTCTCAACTCCCCTCCCCTCCTATTGTCCCATTCCTCACAAAAGGCTCTGCGCTAACCACCTTCATCCGTTCATTCAACAAACACCCACTCAGTACACGACACAGGCACATGTCTCGGAGTCGATGGGAGCTGCTTACAGCTCCATGGTGGTGGCGGTGGGGTGCGAAGAACCGAGATACGGGTGAAGAACAGGGATCTTTTTTTTTAAGTGCGTCAGAGATGCGTGCACTGGCTTAGTGACTCACAGAGTCATTAAAATGATAACTTGGGGGAGATGCAAGATTGTCTTACCTTCAAGAATTCTAAAGCAAAGTCTATTTTCAAAAAAATCTATTTGGATTGTCAGAGACACAATGGGCGATTGAGGTGGCAGCAGATAACTCTCTCCCGTCCGTATTATTGTTTTAACTTTATTCTCTTTTGTCATTCACTTAGTTAGCTATCTTCCTGATCACCCCGGATCCCAACTCCCCCACCCCCAATAACCCCCGTCTGGAGAAGAGATTGAGCAAATCTCTCTACCCTTGCCGAAGTACCGTGAATCCTTACTCTAGGACAAGGTAATGTTTTGTCACAAGCAAAATACACAAAAGGAGAATGTTCTGCTACGGTTCATGCAAAACAAGCAGACAGTTTACATGGGCAGTAAAACGTGGGAAGGAGAAGGGGTGGAGGGGAGACTAAAACACGAACTCGATTCCCTTGCGTGAAGACTTATTTTAGGAGAGTTGCAAAATCCACCTGTCCTCACCATAACAAGGTTTGTTCTTTACGGCTACACCAGTTGGTCATCGGTCCGTATTGAGAATCCAGCTGAGTGTGCACAACTGAAGGACAAAGCTGTGGGAGCGGAATTACTGCCATAGTTACACAGGCATCTGGAAATGCGATGACAAAGCTTTTCCCGACACCTCGGGCCAGTGGCGTCCCAACCCCGCACCCCCCTCACCAACACATGCTGCAAAAGCTGTGCCAAGCACCCCCCATGCAGCCCGACACACAGAGCCATTGCTGAAGCAATCGGGACAGATTTTCTCGGCTACCCACTGAATGCCAAAGGGGGAGCGAGGGAGGCAAGGAGGTTAGAGAGAGGACAGTCGCCTCGGAGGCAGGGGGAGGGGGGGCTGGGGAAAGGGGCCGGGGACAACAGAAGGACAAGAACATAAGTCAGCCCACCTTCAAAAACAACAACGTCAGCCACTCTCAAACTTGAGAACCAACCTGATTGTCTTCTTTATCAATACTAGAGTTATCTCGCTTCAAGATAAACCGCTTCTGGGATTCTTCACCTTTTTCATCTTTTAAATGTTCACAAAACCTTTGCTCTGGTCTGCCAGCAAAGTAAAACATATCAATAAAAAAGTTCTCGCCCCTGTTTCAAGTCATTTTCTCAGTGTCGCTTTTTCCCCCACAGTGGCATTCAACTTAAAAAAGAAGCTACAGGTGGTCTGGGTACCAGGACTGCTGGCATTATACAGGTGGGTAATAACGGGGTCACCTCACGGGGGTGTCGTCAGGATACCGTTTGTGGCTTCGAATTCGAAGTCTTGTTGGCTGCGTGTTCCTCACCACGGCTGAAGTGAAGAAAACACTTTTCAGGCCTGAACATGTATAGCGTATAGGTGTGTGTTCTTTCGTTATTTTGACCTCCGTCATTCCTGAATGCAGTCAAGTTCCCAGCCGTATTGTCAAACAAATACGTATGTTGAGAACTTGGGCAGACCACGTTAATTCACCAATGTCTGCGACAGGAGGACAGATCTTGTCACATCGTCCCTCTCAAGAGCCATCAGAATCCATAGTGAGAGTGGATCACCTATAAATTACTTCCATCTTTCCCCATGACAAACGCTCTGGAATCTGACTCCAGTAGAGTCTGGCATTCTTGACCCTGTCTTGTAAATCAGTGCAGTAATTGGGGAAACTGGACATATTTAGTTTAAACAGCTTAATGGCTGATTAGCAGGGGGAAAATGCTCCAAGCAGTTACACGCTATTGATTAGTCAATTGATTTCTTTTTTGTAGGTCCTCTTAATCATTTTGTATTATTACTGGAAAGGGCCCCATGTCCTTGTTAATTTCCCACACTCGTCACCGCATGCCACAGAACTCAATGAACGGCTTGGGCATGGGTTCATCCCCAGAGGACGTGCTAAAGTGTTTGTCCCACGTTTAGAAGGAGTTGTAATTGATGACTCTCATTAAAGCCCCTCTGCCATGGCTGATGGATTACTTCTGAAGCCCAGTGGGTCTCCTCTATCTCTACGGGGTTCATTACGCATTCAGTTATTGGAAAGCGCCTTCACAGTGGCTGTTGTTTAATATGGCTGACCAGTAATTAAGGGAATCTCATAGTGTCCCTTCTCGCTCCAAAAGAAGCAAACGGCACGTTGAAAACAAAGGGATCTTTTTCAGTGTATGGCTCAAGTCCGGATGGGATGCGTCTTTTTCTTAAATACGTGTACGTGAATCATACTGGTATCGGTGAGCAGACGCTACCAGAAAGTCGGAACGATACCAGTTACAGCTTCCGGAACTGTGTGTAATTTTTGCAAAGGGTCAGCATCGTCTTTCTCAATCCTTACAGGACAACTCTGAGGCAGGAAGAACAAATATTTTACGCTTCTTTCATAGATAGAGAAACCATCCCCCAGTGACCCTTTTGACTGCAGGTTTATAGATTTTCCCAGCAAGCCACAGGCCTCAAACAGCCTCTTCACATCCTTGCAGAGATGGGATGGGATTCGGTCGCTCTGCTTATACGGCACACAGTGGGCCAGAGGCCCTCAAGCCCCACAAAGAAGAACTAAAAAGCCTGCATCACCTCACCCAAAAGATCAATGTAAATGTTTTCCACCGCAATGAAAATGTAAAATAGAGTAGAACAAGCCATCTGGAAGTGCAAATATGACATTTTAAAATCGGAACGCCAAGAGAACAAGGTAAACTTGCACTTGACAGTGCAAAGGCCATTTGCAGTGGAGAAATTCAACATGGTTCGGTGTTGGTCACCGCACGCTTCTTATTCCGCTGGACAGTCTTACAAGGTTAGCGTGAGTACTCACAGGCCACTGTCCACGATTACGGTTCTCCGGGAATTTTTTTTTAACAATTTTTAAAAAAAATTTTTTTAACGTTTATTTATTTTTGAGACAGAGAGAGACAGCGCATGAACGGGGGAGGGGCAGAGAGAGAGGGAGACACAGAATCGGAAACAGGTTCCAGGCGCGGAGCCGTCAGCCCAGAGCCCGACGCGGGGCCCGAACTCACGAGAGATCACGCGAGATCGTGACCCGAGCCGAAGTCGGTCGCCCAACCGACTGAGCCACCCAGGTGCCCCTCTCCGGGAATTTTTTTAAAGCATCCTAAAATTGTCAGCCGACACTTGGATGTTACGGTGTCTTTTTCTGTGGCAAGCAAAACCGGGTATCAAATACAGACGCTGACGATATCCATGCTAAGAAAAATCTCTCCTGATATTCCTGAACGCTGCTGCCTGGTGAATTCCAGTAGATGAAATGCTTTGCTTGCCGCTAAGTTTACAGATCCATTTCTTGTATTGGGTGCTAATAGCCTATAACTGTTCATTTAGATAAAAAGTGGTCTGGGAGGGTGAACTTTTCGAGTCACGAGCATAAGGTGAATTTGCTTTAGATGAAGTTCTTCTTTAAGAGGAAAACCATTTTGAGATTTCAGCATACTAACCAGGGTGAGAATGTGCGTTCCATGTGGGTTGAGACCTTGTTTTCTCAATACTTAATTCTTAGTGTCTCACACGGTGCCTGGAATACGGGAAGCATTTGGCTGAATAAATAAACTCATCAATGTGTGAATGAATGAAAATTTAATAGCGCTATATAGGAATCACTGTAGTTCAGGGACAGATCAAAGAGTCGCTGAATCAGATGTGCAGTCATAAATTTTTAAATTATAAAACAGAACAAGAGAGAGTTTGGTTAGTAGGAGCATAAATTCAAATTTAGAACACGAAGAAGATCTTTAAAAACCAAATTTATGCTTTGGTTCAAGTTGACAAAAAAGAATCATGTTACTTAAAAAAAAAATAGGTTTTAAATTTTGAGGTTCTTTTGGGAAGAGAGGTGGAAATGAGAATCTTAGCGTCTCTAGTTTTGAAGCTTCTGGTTTACAGTGTCATTATAGTTACAAGAGGCTATTCAAGCATTAGTTTTTGAAATTTCATTTGCATTTTTTCATGGTGCTGGTTGATTTGTTTCTCATAGCAGCACATGTTTAGGAAAAAATATATCCATCCCATAAGAAAAGAACAGTCAAAGGACCTGGCTTTAATCAATAATGCAAATGTGATTTAGAGCAAGAATATTTCTCATTCTAACATATATGTTATGCAAAGTGCAGTCTCCATAATAATAGCTTTTCAAAAAATATCGTTTATTTTTTTTCAAACTTGAGAACCTACTAGTTAGTCCCAATTATTCATTCTTTCATGATTCTCTGAAAATATGTTGAGTGATTATAAAGTAACCATTTGAAGTTTGTGCAAAAAGAAAAAAAAAAACACTTCGTAAGATTGTCCCAGGTTGATTTTATCGAGAATTATCTATTACTCTAGCGCAAAAGGGCAATTTGCAGTTTAAACTCATGCAGACTAAAGCATACACCTGAAGCACCGCATGTGATTAAACTACAAATTACCGGTAATGCACCATTATATTAGAGCTTTTAAAAACCCTTTTTACCACTAATTTAACATCATAGCAGTGTTATTTCTTAACCATAAAATAAGTGGAACTGAAAAGATATGATGGCCCTTTGTGTAAAATGGGAACGGATAACTTTCAGTGTATCAATATGAGAATGGAACTCTAAGACAAACTCCTCAAAGCTGCAAAAGGTCATGGTATTGATTAAATTCATGATAACTAGAGTTTACTGCGTATCTCACAGCCATGCACGATAACACACGCCTCATTGTTCTTTCCTGACGGACTTTAGTCCTTGAGGTGTTATTTCTGGTGTTCTCCGTATCATCATCAAAAAGCAAAGAAAAGGAAGTTAGCGTTTCTTCTTGATGAAAAGATCGTTTCTTCTTAAGGTACAGTTTGTAGTAGATACCAACCACGAATCTCATTGCTCGTGCGTGGGGAACAGTACTGGCGTTTCCAGCCAGGGTCCTGGCATCCCCAATAGAAACCCTGAAAACTTCGAATTAAGTCCTCATTGTTTCTTATTAGACACAGCTCATCAACTGAGAGGCAGTGCGGCTGAGTGAAACACCCAGTAAGACATTCAAACTCTGTCTTCTGGTCAATCGATGACGATTTTAGGCTCCCCCCACCTCTTGAAACTTAAAATAGATGAGCACTCATTATTATTTTCAAAAATCTTTTTGATCTGGAAATATTTTACCGCTTGGTACTTGAGATGAAATTTATTACTTTTCTTGCAAAGAGTTAAGCTTAATCCCTCTCCCCCCCACTCTATACACACACAGATGAAGAATTCAATTCTACTAAACATGGACGGGGCTCAAACGGAAGCCTTTGAATTTCATATCGAATAACTGAAAGACAGTCATCAATATGCATAAGTATCTTAACAAAGAAAGGTTTCTGTGCACAACAGGATAAAATATTTTGATGGTGTAAGACACCTATCAAAAATATTTTAATAGTCGAACAGATTAGAGGAGCTTAAGAAGCACTTTCCCTCAATACTTTCAAATCTCCAATTAAAACACTTATAGCTGATGTCTTTTATTTCAAAAATAAAGTGCTACGTCCTTCAACTAGTTCGCAATTTGCTACATCCCTCTTCAACTCTTTCACAATTTCCACCACCATTTGGTCATTTTACACCATTCTATTCTCTCTTAAATGAGAGCACACCTTGCAAACCCCACAAACGCGGTGCTAAGCATCCGGCTTCCAACATCTTTCAAGCATCTTGCCAACTCATGTTCTCAATTTTCTACGTGTCTGACAAATTCATTTTATTCTTCTCTGTCTCAGCTGTACTGTATCCATAAACAGAGGTGTGGAAGCTAAGGTGGGAAACGCCTTGACTCTCCTTTAACCTAAGGCTATTCGTGAGCAACAACAAAATTAAGCAGACTACTCAAAGTCAGCAAAGGTCTCTGAGGCCCCTCCTCTTACTGGTGCCAACACCCTGGAAAACAGGTTATGTGCATTAAGACCCCTGACGGTATCTATCCACCTTGACGGAGCGATTGCATTTCTAAGAATGAGTCCAAAGAAATAGTAACAAATGAATACACAATTTCACTGTTCAAGACAGCAAAACAGTGGAAATCCATGGTGGTCTGATTAAGTAGTTAACGTATCTCCACA